GTAAAAACGTGCCCCCCTACCAAACTGAACATCTTCAAAATTTGGCGAATTTGTTGAACTACATGTTCGTTAGATTTTAATAAATCACTCTAAGACTTGGCAAATTTACTATTATTAACGCGTACTTTCCAGAGGTGTCGATAAATTTTCGCCTAGTTGTCCTTACCAAAACTTAAAAATAAGAATCATGAAGGGTCGTCTATTATCATAAATGTCATTTTACCACTGAGTACCAGCAGGTTTCTCCACCCGTCGAGAAACAAAAGAAGATAAAGACGGGTGTAACAAAAGCGTTTTTACTTTCTTAGTTGTTAGAGAAAATAATTCAGTAAATGAACTGCAACCCTTTCATTTCTTTTGACTTTTTATGATTTGAACCTAGCTGAGTATTATTTGGTAGTTAAAATACACAGTTAATGGCTGTGTAAGAGTAAAGGTAGAGTGACAGGATGCCATCTGGTTTCCCAATGTGGTATTACTATAAACAAGAGAGAATTATCAAGAGATAAGGAGGAAAATGCTCGGTCTAAATCCCTATAGCTTTGCTGTTTATCTTGCGTACGACGTAGCGTACCCGGTCACGGCTAGAGGGCTACGTGTAATTTTAAACACGTACAATTTAGTAGTTATTTTAAGTAGATAAATGGTTTTCTGGCCTGGTTCTAAGCCTTCCTGCAACTGTTGAGAGCAAACAATATTTAGATATCAGAGTGTGTCAAATGAAAACGGCTTAGAACACAGTTTTCCTTAAGGCTGTCTGAACTATTGTTTGAACAACCTTCCCTCAAAACTCACAACTGGTAGGATGATCCTCCTGCACTCTTTTGAGGTTCGATAATAATAAATCAGTTTGTTTTCAAATTTTAAGCGTTGGTTCAAAACTTTACTTTCTTACTTTACGCAAAGTGATAACAATATAATAATAATTTTGTGGTTTTATTTGCCCATCTTAGGAGCTAAGAAGTGCGGTTACGGATGCCCAACCACCTGCCCCTGTCAACCAACCTGCTGTGCACCGCCACCACCACCACCACCACCTCCAGTATGCTGCCCTCCCCCTCCTCCACCTCCACCCCCTCCAATCCAGACATCTAGCCAGTCGACTCTATATCACCATCACTTCCATCCAGCACCTCCTCCCCCTCCTCCTCCCCCGCCAGCTCCCTGCCCACCACCTTGCCACTTCGGTCACACCTTACATCACCACGTGTACCACCAAAGCCCACCAGGTCCTCCTCCTGCCCCTATGCCGTCACCTCCTCCTTACTCCACTCAATCTCATCAACACGTTTTTATCCATCACACGCACCCCGCACCACCACCTCCACCACCACCACCGCCCGCGCCCTGCCCACCACCCTGTCATACTGTCCAGACAGTTCACGTAGCTCAACACCACTTCCCACCACCTCCCTGTCCTCCACCATGCCCACCTCCTCCTCCTCCCTGTCCTCCTCCATGCCCAGTAACTTGTGCCCCACCCTGCAATGTTTGCTGTAAGAAGGCCAAAGTACAAAAGGACAAGAAAAAGCAGGACGACAAAGAAGAGAAGAAAGAAGAGTAAACCAAACCTGAGCGATTGGCTGTTTACGGCGCTCGATGTTTTAAGACAAGTTGTGAACAAGGATTCCCAGCGTTCAAGTTTCCGAATGTTAGGACTACGACATAACTCGTTTTAAAGTTAGAAAAACGACTATTCCAGTTGTCAAAGAGCTCGAACTGAATATATCTTTGTAAATAAGGATTGCATCGTTGCGATGAAAAGGACCTAAACTGCTAGTTCAAAAATGGGATTCGAGCTTTTGTGATCGTTTAGTACAGATGAGCTGTGTTTTGCAGCTTGATCGTATTTAAATCTCCATATTATGTTGTCAATTAAAATCTGTGTTAAAAAACATCATGTTCGTAACTGATTTCCCTTTTATTACCCAACACAATTTTTTTAAAACCATTTCCAAGAGGAGTTTCTTGAAGTGCAGTTTCAAACTTGTTACGTTTGCCCTATCAACACCCCGGAACGGCGGGTTGTATTCCAATATATGTATTCCCAACACTAGAACTCAGGAGCCCATCACTCATAGGCTACTGTATAGAATTATATTCAACAATACTGTGCAGGAAACTGACGCCCTCTGCGGGGACACTCCCTGTACTTTGAGAAATGTAGAAACATCTCAAAAAACGGACAAAAATACCAAAGTGTAGGCGGATCTTGTTAAAATCCAGGATCAGTAAAATTCTAATGTCATGCGGTAAATAAAATGGTAGAGATTTTTCGAGTTGTGTATATACAAAAGCATAGGAAATAAAACTAACTTTAGGTTTACAGTCAAACCTTCCGTAAGCGACCACCCAAAAAGCGAGCATTTAGTGGTCCCTTACTGGACGTGGTCGCTTACAAGAATCGAGCTACAAGGGGTCCGTTCGAAAAAGAGGTCGAAACACATCTACATTTTGGAAGAGAATTCATTGCATGCAATTTGACGATATGCGCAGTTTAACGTTGTCAGCTAAAATCACATCGCATTCTCTTAGTATTGTAGAACGTACACCGATGATAGAGGTTAAACTCTGCCCTAGGTGGTTGTTTATAAGAAAACAAAAACACTGAAAAATTGCAAAGCCCTCGTCCAAAAAGGGTGATCGCGGTCGCCTACGAGAGGGGGTCGTTTGTGGGAAATTTCGGCTGTAGTTATTTGACTGGGAACATTTCAGTGTTTTAGATAGGTGGTCGCTTATCAGAGGTTATTGTGCATAGAAGTCCGACTGTATTTAAAAAGGCCTAGGGTATGCTAAAATAACTCGATAAAACGCACCTCATGGTGATTGAAGAGTAAAAGGACGAGTTGTTTAGTTACTAACTATCACGCCTCTGCACCTTGTAATTTATGAGAGGGATAACAGTTCTGTTTGGCCTTGCTCCAAATAAATTGGCCTTGGCACACTGAGGGAGCAGTAGAAAGTCTATGTATTAATAGGGTGTCGGTATTGAGTGGGTCCATGTTTTTTTAGGTCAAAATTACACTCTTTACTTAAACAAAATTCTAAAACAGGACATTAGCATCACGAAATTAAACATCTCTGTTATTATGACAGTATTATTATTCATTCAAAATATTTCGCCGTTTCTGATTGGCTTAAATCTTACGTACAATTCATGATTAGCAGCTATTCTAGACCAAATTTTGAAAAAATTTGCGATATGTGAAAAATGGCGTCAATCTTGTAGCAAAATTGTCAGATTATTGAACAGTTACATAACCTCATTTCAACTAATGTTAAAAATGGTAGAACATGAACTTGTCATTCCGTTATCAAAGATGAACTGAATTATTTTGAATTAATTAAAAACTTTGTCATCTGAAGAAATCGAGGAGGGTGTTATAACTCAAAATTCTTTAGATCATTCATTTTATTCACGAACCGTCATTCCGTTTGTCCGAGCTCTTTTTATCGATGCCTTTTGATGCCAAAAATAGCCAACACTGACGCCCTGAACATCCTATACGGTGTAATGTAGTGCCGTAAACATCGAAATGCTGTCAACCGAAGAGCTACTGAAGGTTTCTCAACCTTCAAAAACTCAGTGGAAGGATAATTACAGTACACAGTTGACAATGAAGTGTCCGCAGTAGCGAAGTTGACTGTCTATGGGGATCTGATGAAAGGGCAAGAAACAAGTGCCCGTTGTCTGTATTAACGGGTGTCCTTATTAAGAGGGTTGAATTTAGAGCAAGTATAAGGGCTTTCCCTCGGAATAAAAAAACTGTTTGTATTAATGAAATGTCCGTATTTAGCGGGTGTTCGTAAAGCAGGTGATTCGACTGTCTCCAATTTTAATTAGGGACGTAGCTAGGGAGAGTCCTGGATAGTCATCCCTTCTTTTCGCGAAACGCTAACAAATTAATAAAAAAAGTACACTCTTTAGTCCTTAAATTTAATGACGATATCTCGACAGTCTTATGACCAATTTTTTTCGCAAAAACCATCGTTTGAAGCTTACTTTCTTCCGGCAATAACGGTCTTGTTTGGGTCAGATTTTGATTTATATATAGACAGCATAATTGGTCTTACTTGCTATGGGAGTTCAACCACAATTCATTTCGCCTCGACGCTAGCTCACAGCTGCTTATCCGAAAATACATCATAAATATTGACGTGACATGGTTGGTTCTATGAGCATGAGAATATGTATCCCCACTTTTGAAAACTCCTATCCTAGCTAACCCTCTGAGAATGTGTTGAAAGAATGGTGAGATTAGAGTCCAAATGCGCCCCAACACTGCTTGCCCTTGCTGGAACAGTATCGCAAAAAAATTCAAAAGGGAAAAGAGAAGAAAAAGAGAAAACTTTTATTCGTATTTTATTTCTTCTAGTAACTACTTTCATTAAAAGCTAAAGATCGCTTTTGTTCAGTTTTCAATGCCTTCAAATTAGAGGCACCAAAGTCAACGATGGTAACGAATCACCAAAAAATAAGTTGCAGTGCCTCCTTAGTGTCATGAAAACTGAATTGAGAATCACAATCATTTCAAAAAAGATAATTTAAAAAGGCACGCGGAAAAATTTGATCGATGTGGTGATAGTTCTTCCTAAAAGAAGTACCCAACATTTCATAATTATATCTAAGATGGCGTGAAAGCTAAGTTTATTTTCAGTGTTTAATATTTTTTGTTTATTTTCACTCCTAGGCCTAAGTGCTCAAAAACAAATACCTCTAAATGATACAACAAATTTGTATAATAAACTGCAATTGCATCGTGGTAAACAGGCATTATTTCGCCCGAAATGAAGCCTCGATTTTGTCACAAACAAAACGCTTGTCCAGTATATTTACACTATTTTTCAACATATTCCAGTATACTTAAGGAATCTTGAAGCAGAATTCAAGAATGGACCTTTTTAGCTTCTGCCCTTTTTGATTCCTTCGTTCTGGGTTTGTCACCAAGTCTCCTTTTCTTATCAGTTGATGTTTTCTCAGTCTGAAATGTGGCCACACCCTAGTTTTCTGCATTACGCTTCTTCTTGTCACAGCATTCAGGCTTGCAAGATGGTGCGCATGATCGGGCGCATGGAGGTGGGCATTGAGGTGGCATTGCAGGCATGATAGGCTGAGGAGGAGGAGGCATGAACATTGGAGGCTGTGGTGGCATCATCATTGGTGGAGGTGGTCCCTGACAGCACGTAGGCGCACATGAAGGTTGGCATTGAGGCATCATTGGAGGCTGCATCGGAGGCTGCATCGGGGGCTGCATCGGAGGCATGGGTGGCGGCAGAGGTGGGAGTGGCTGTGGGTTACAGCATTTTGGAGTACACGCTGGATAACAAGCTTTGGGGCAGTTTGCTGGGCATGGAGGTGGTGGCTGGACAGGAGGAGGAGCGGGTGCCACCACTGGAGGGGGAGGAGGCATTATTACTGGCGGTGGGGGAGGAGGGGAACAACAGCCAGCCTGCTGGCATTGAGCGGGGCATGGAGTAGCTTGAACTGGTGACACCTGAGGCATCCCTCCTCCTGGAGAAATGGTGGTTGTCCAGCGCAAGCAGATTGGTGGACACTGCTGAGGAGGAGAAGCCAGGCCGGGCATTCCGGGTGCTCCTGGAGGTCCCATTGGACCCATAGGACCCATTGGTCCCATAAAGCCTGGTGTTCCACGACAACCTGGTGTTCCGGGGGGTCCCATGCAGCCTGGTTGTCCTGGGGGTCCAGGCATTGGCATTGGGGGAGGAGGAGGAGGTGGAGCGCAACATGATGGCTGACATTGAGGAGCACAGGAAGGAGCGCAATCTGCCCCACATGGACTCCCTGTAGAATCAGAAAAGAATTTTCGGATCTGTATATGATTTTCGAAAATTGCTTACATAACCCAGCATTTTACCCTCAGTGAGAAGTTATTGTTGACAGCGGTTAAAGAAAATGGTACTTTCTTTTAATTAAAAAAAAAAGAGAGAGACAGAGAGAGAAAGAAAACAGTTACTGAAACCACTGATATTTTCCAATAGTACTTAATTCTGCTGAGATCAAGACTTCCTTAAATCAATAAAGTACTGACCATATACACCAGTTTATCTAAATCCTCCAAATTGAACAAAAGTCCATTAGCTAAGCATGATGCAGTGTATGTTGTATAATTAATAGTTGCTTACTTTTTGCTCTGAGTTCCTTGACCTTCTTAGGAACTACAAATAAATGAAAGAAAGGATAATTAGGTCTTGTTGGGCATAAAGTACTGTTAAAAGAAATTACACAAATGGTTTCTTTGTGAATAGTAGTATTGTCTGATGAATGGGTTACAAGGAGGCTCAAATACCAAAATATCCTTCCAAAATAAAAAGCAAAAGACGAAAAGCAGAAAGAAGGTAATGGATATTCACTGGGTATATATAAAAAGAATCAACAAATATTATCGCCATTTATACGAGGAAAATATCGGAAGAATTGCGAATTGGGCAAACAGGTCTTATAATAAATGTCCATCCTTTTGCTCAAGTCTTATTTCTGGTGCTGACCTCTTTCTAGTGTGACTGTTGCCAATAGCAACGTCGGCAATCATCCAACTAATGGTTCTTGTTTCAAAGTAACAAGGATATACTGCGAACCTTCGCAGTATGAAGCATTGAATAAACAGGCCTTTGTTGAGGATGAATGAGACTTCTCTACGTACAAAAATTGCCATTTCCCATTAAGTAGTAAAATAGAATACTGTTTTTGAAAGACTTAAGCTAAAAGAAGCCAGAGAAAGACAGCTTATATTAAGGGGACAGGAAAAACTTAACACGGGGAAGCTCTGCCCTAAGTCCAACCCCTTACCCTTATATATATCATTTTTTAAAGAAAATCTAATGTATCTTTTATTAACAAATGGTACCCCTCTAACTGCTGTAAATGCATAAATCACTAAACCAGAAAGTTTTCTTGTCTGTTTCACAGACATTAAATGAATCTGTTAGCTCTTTTAGGTCCTTTTACAGACGTCACGACAGATATCCCTGGACTTTCATGTACTTCAACTGGTGACATTCCTACTCTTTCATATTGCTGAAGCTTGAAAAAGGTAACCCTTTTGGGAGGAGACTTCCCGTATAGGCCATTAGAGGGAGTACCCCGTCCCCCCTCCCGGAATCAGCAGGGATGATGCAGTCCGTTGAAAAGATCTTCAACGCTTCACCAAATATTACTTTTCCTACAGGTTGGTGTGTCTACTTTGAAGAGACAGAAAGAATCCTAACATCAAAAAAAGGAAAGAAAAAAGAAAAGAAAAACTGTCGGAAGACGGAATCATTTTTCTCTTACTAGTCCACGGCTGGCCGCTTAATGTTAATGATGACGCATGCGTACTATGCATTGGCGTCTTGCAGAAGACGCAATGATTTTTTAAGACTAGGTTTTCTTCGTCCTAGATAACTCGCGTCCTACTTCAGATATAAAGAAAGCTCGAGTTTCACGTAAGACACGGTAATTCAATGAGAGAGTCAGAGACTTTTACACAATATTCGTCTTGGCTCGTTAATATGAACATCACAAAATTTACCTGCAGCAGTACTTGGTGATCGAGTGTAATTTTTTGTAACGATTGATTTATTTTTGTACGGTTATCACCTAAACTAAAGCAAAATTGACGCCGTCAAAGGCATAAAAGTTGAATATGACTTCTTCTTCGCGTTTTCGCAGACGAAATGCGTATAATGACTTCTGATTGGCATTTGTGAGGTACTGTCAGTACTGTATATGCTTTGCGCTTGTTTAATTGGCTAACTAAGATAACTACATTAGTTTCGCTTTGGTAATTAAGAGCATAAACTATAAATCCCTTAACCCGTTCTAGAATAGTACCACATGCTAGTCAGCCAGTAGATTAACGTCTGTGGCATATGTGGAGAATGGAAAACGTCTGCTTACACGTAGAAATATTGGTTATAGTTTCAAAACAACTTCTAGACTATGTAGTTATAAAAATGGCTATTTCATGTGGTTTCAGTGCCATTCACTGGTACCAGCTAAAGTCAAATTAAGGACAATTAAAAAATATGTTTCGTATAACCGCAAGACCAACCGAAAATGCATCGCTCAAATAAAAAGGGGTATAGACTGCATGAAATGCCTGGCCAGAAGTATAAAGTAAAATAATATTCCACGTTTAATACTATAAGTTCTTTCTTTCTATCTCATGGAAAATAAATTGATTAATCATGGACATCGATGTGTTCGTATATAATTATGGAGCGACGAAATGATATACTGTTTCCTTTGGGAATTAAGCCCTCAAAAGTGAACTATCTCAAGGATAAAGCATAAGACGAAAGCTTAAGATATTGATATTTAAATATGTTTACTTTCTATTTCAGAATGATTTTAACAAAGTCAGTAACGGGTTTTATATAGGATAAAATGAAGTAGCAGCTACTCAGAAATGGAACAAACGAGTCAGTCCATCATTCCAAGGTCTTAAGTTACTGAGTGGTAAATGAGATTTGCCTCACACAGAATGCCATGTCGCCCATTGTCACTATTTATGAATATATGGTATTCGAAAAGTCATAGTCAGATGGCAGCTGGTTGTCTTTGTGAAACTCTGTCGTTTACAGATCTAACAGACAGTCTTTATTTCGCTTCATGGTTGGTTGGAAGTTAATAATAAGTTGTTATGACATCTTACAAAAGTAATCTGCTCAAAACAAGGAAAGAGCTTCCTTTTGTAAAAGATTCTTACCATAAGAGCATTCCACTTGAAGAGTTAAAGCCAAAAGAACCACAAAAATCATCCGAGGTTCCATTTCTGACGACTGCAAAACCCCTGCGCTGCATAAAACCAGAAAAAAAGAAGTTGAACTGTAAAAGCTGTAACAGGTAAAAAGGCTTAATTTGAGCTGATGTTACGAACAATTTAAATTCATTTTTTTTTTGCATATTCATATCCAACTTGATAAACTGAAAATGATATGTAACGGAAGAAATATCCCTCAATCACTGTTGATTTCAGGACATACATGTTATTTATTATATTTCTGTCTATGGCAAAAAACAACAACCCTGATTATCGCTTCAATAGATTAGATATTTTTCTGAGCTTAGGAGGCTATTTATCTCGAGACAACAACAGTAAAAAGTGGAAAAACAAAATGACCTCCTTAGTCTTACCTGAATGTTTCCTAGTAATCTTTTGCTTCAGAACTTTGCTCTGCGTTGCTTTACAAAATAAACTACCAGTCGTTTCTTCCAGGACCTATTTATTTATTAAACAATACCTCAGAGTCTCATGTCGTGGAATTCCATTTTTGTCGCATAATAGTGACAAGTGTAAAACGCGACAGACAATTGTGTAAACAATATTAAATCAGCGGCAAAATTAATGGGCATCTCCCCTCCGAATCGATTGTCCTGCTCCAAAAATTGCATATATTTCATGAAACCATCTATGGTAGCTTAAGTGAATTGTTAGTAAAGGTCAACTTTAAAACCAATAAATATTTGACAAAGTTTGTTTAAACAAGTCAGTGGTGTTTCTCTGTGTTGGTTGCAGAGCTCTGAAAGTTAAGCCACAAGTAAAATGATCATCAAAACGGGCAGGTGGCAAAATAAAATCTTATATTTGATTGGTTTAAAATAATTTCCTTGATGATAAATTTAACGCGGAAGAGAGAATAACTGTTACTCCCAGAATACCCACAGATTTAAAGAAAAAACTGAGATTGGAAGCCCATGATGGTGGTTTTAGCTTCCGCTGTGAATTTTAAAAGGATTCCAGGATTTCCAAAATATAAATTATAAGGTGATAACTCTGACCTGATCGAATAACTTTGTATCTGTGTCACATCATTTTTAATTAACTTTCTCAGTTTTTCTCCTTAACATTTCTTGGCTTCATTTATCAGACGATTCATGCTTCTTGAAAGTGAATGGATATCTTTTATTAGCCGTAGGGAATGAAGATGAAGGTTGCTGATAAGGAAACGGAATTAGTCTAATTCTGATTTAGGCCATGTATCAGTGATTCTTGTGATTGTCAAATAGCGTTATTCTTGTTAATTAAAGCCTTGTTTAATTTCCAGGTTCGAAGTCTCTAATTAGTGTTATAAATGAAAGTTAGGTATTTTCTAAATGGATACTGTTTGTACCGATGATTATTGTTGTAGATAACGTGGCTCGTTGGAATAACTATTACTCAAATACAATCATGATATTTTTTAAAGTAAATTGACCACTGCAGAAAATACCACAACATGCCATAATGCTCTTTGTTTGTCACCCCAAAAATTTGAATAAGCATTGTTTCCAGTTTCTCTTGGGGCCATTTTAACTCCCAAGAGAAACTGAAGACAATGCTTACGCAAAATTTTGGGGTGACAAACAAAGAGCATTATGGTATGTTATGATATTTTCTGGAGCGGTCAATTATACTGATGAATGAGTCGAATAAAGGTAAAAGTTCATTTTATACTTTCTGTTTTTCTCCAAAGACCCCTCCGAAGAATTACCTCATGGTTTGCTTTACATAAATAGCTGTCGTTTGGAAAGCAACATAAAAAGATTTTTTTGTATTTTCCTGTCCGAAACCGCCGCAGAAAACCGTCAAAAACCGTTTAACTTAAAAAGTCAAATACATACGATTGTTGGGAATACTGATTCAACACTACTAGTTTGGAAGAGACCATTTTTTACATGATGTTTGCCCGGCGTGTCTGCCCTTACGAGTCTGTAAAAGGACATATTTTATGGCTGCGTAGAAAATAAGAAAACTTTCTGATTTGGAGAGATGCAGTTTTCCAAACTAGGTATACAAAAGGGGTACCATTTCTCAATAGGGTGAAATGTATGTAAAAGGGTGAGAGATTGGACCTCAGGCGGAGCCGCATCGAATAAAACGTTGTTGAATACCCTCCTCCCCCCCCACCCCGGCCAGTCAGCCGAACCGGTCATTTGAAATTTTGAGAGTTTTCACAAAACCCCATCACAATGCTTATTGTTTATGAATATACTGATATGCTGAACAATTCTGATTAAATTTAACCAGTGTTTGCGGCATGGCGAAGCTGATGATACCTGCTTGGCCAGAAATGACCAATGTAATCGAAATTGCACCCTAAGACGGACAGGTTTCATACCGGTACCAATCCTTACCAAGCGTCCATCATGGAGAGGAGTCCGCCTTTAACCTTCCATGATAAGTCGCAAATTTATTAAACAAAGGCAGACGCTGACTTTTTAAAGTGTCCTAAAGAGGTGTCCGTTAAGAGGGAATTAAATCTATTTGCTGAATGTGTTCAAATTCCGAAAAGTGAACACCAGCTACAAAAACATTCAGCCTAAAGCTGGCGAATCTGGGCAAGCAAGAAGCTACGTCGCGATAGGAATAACGACGATTTTCCGATAATGTACAGAATATCACGAAAATTTCCCGAGTCGATAAGAGAATTTCAGAACTGCATCGGAGGATAATATAGAGAAGGATTATTCTTTTCTTTTCCCCTTAAACGCACACACATGTACATGATATTATCAATGCTGCTGTTAAAAGAAACAACCACTAGGTTCGTACAATGTTACATGTAAATAATTGAACAGAGAAAAATAATGTTTACTGAATAAGACCTGATAGTAAAAAGAAACCTTTATGAAGTGGTTCCTAATATAAATAAACGAAAAATGGCTGTCACTTTCCCTCTTTTGAAAGGTGTTTTTGAGAGTTTGTTTAATTGTCATGGCAATCTGACCTTTTACGGTAGTATGCGTGGGAGGAGATTTAAAGAAGAGGAAAGGAAATGGTGGAATAATGCGCCATGATGTGGCATCCGCCACTCAGACTGTTAAATCCGAAAAAAGGGGGGGGGGGGGGGGAAGGAGGAATCTCGTGTGAAATGGACAAGGGAGACCGATCTGGGCGGGGTTCAGTTTATGTTTCTGCCCTAAAGGCAACTATGTTTGCGCCCTAAAGGCAACTACATACTGATATGCAACTAATTCCCAGAACCCATCAAAAGCTGTGGTGAAAATGTTGGCTTTCTGTTTCAAATTTATTGACAAATTTAGTGCCCTTACAATGTAACACATCATGACGGATTATGGAAGATTTCTCTTTAAAAAAAATAAAAAAAATAAATAAAGCACATAGAAAATCTTTGAAATTTTATTGAAAGTGATTTTTAATAAAAAAAAAAAATCAGATTCGAACCTGAGCCGTTCGTACGCTAGTATTTCTCCCTTGAAGTGACACTACCACAACGACCGCCCAAACCGAGAAAACTGAATTAAGTATTATGCTAATTAACTTTCCTTCATAATTGATGCGTCTATACCAAGTGACCCTAGCCATTTCCACAACGTTTAGGATTAAATTCAACTTGGGAACACGAATGTTAAATGAGACTAGGTATGTAAGAATGAACTTTTTGCCTCATTGTAACGTAATTCAGAGAGTAACTCTACCTAATACGTCTACCATGACTAATGGCTTTGTTATTAGGCCGCACCGCACTCTAGGCGATACCAGTACCGGTAAAAGGATTGGCTTACCGTAATGATCACCTGAGACCAAAATAATTATGCATATTGCGAAATGACGATATTTTTTAATGTGGAAGCCCCCCCCCTCTCCCCCCCCCCCCCCCTCCTTTCCCTGCCGGTTTTAAATGACATTTCTGTGAAACCCAATCGGAAGTATCATTAATTAACGAAACAATTTTAGCTGCTTACGGAAATGAAATGTTTCATAATTCACGATATTCAGATTATAGTTTTAGCAGAACTGCGTTTCAGGTAAACATTATGTCATCACATTCACCTCTTCAATTTTTGGCAATTAATCTGAAACTAAAAACCAAAAATATAAAAACAATCATTTCAGTCTTCTTTTTACTACTTTTTAGCTCCGACACAGGTCTAATTAATCATTACGGAAGTCTTTCTTAAGAATTTAATAAAAAATTAAAGTATTGTTAAATAAATCTTTTAGGCCATTAATGACATTAACTATATTTTTGATATTGGTCAGGGTTTTTATTAACAAAAGAGAGCTTAACCAAAACAACAGGTTTGTTCTAAAAGGAAAATTCATTAACACAGTTTATTCAGCTAATTAAACTCCGATTTAAAAGGAAATGATTATGCGACTTTGGGGCTGTCAAAGTTGTCTTAAGTCTTATTCGACCGATATTACTTTCTGCAACGACAAATTATGATCAGTCATTTTCAAGTCCCTAAGAGAGCGTTAGTAAAAATTACATTCTCACAAGTGCACTCATTCACGAGAAGGTATTAACATGGGCGCTCGTCTTCCTTTTATTTTTGTTGTGTTGCTTATTGCAGTTGCGGTTCTAGATGTGTTCGCTGGATTAATCAAGGTTTGCTTGCCGATTTTTGTGATTTTTCTTGTTTCCTGTATTCTTGTGCCATGTGAGTGACTCTTTTCTTTTGGGTAATAGCTAGGGCCACGTTGAATTAGAGTGAAACAAGAAGGCATATAAATTTGTCTGCCCTGGCAATACATATCCTTTACCTCTGATATAGCTTTTTCACTAAAAACAAAGAATGCACTTTCTCTATTTTCCAAAGAAGAAAAAGCAATATCCACGTACTCGTTTTTGCCCAATTATTAACAAAGATCATATGATAACACCGAACAATACATCATCTTCATTTCACAGAATGTATTGCTTCTATTTATTTGCCACTATTTGAGTCTAAAGGATAATGGATGTACCAATGAATTATGCTGAAAAGGCGGGAAAATTTTTAAACATAGGATTATAAAGCATTTTTAAAAGCCTTTTTAAAATATTTCTCTCTAACATGATCTGATTATGAGGAACTCGATTGGCTAGTATATATGTAAACACGATATGGAGAAAAAGAAAAAAAAACCTTACAAGGGAAATTGACTCGTTGTAAGTGTCACAAGTTTGCTTTACAATACTTGCACCATATTCTTTATTATTAGAATAAAATTAGGTATGCTGGTGTCTGAACATCAGTGCTTTTAAAAGTCAGGCGTTGTTCGCCATACAGTAAATATTTATCGATAGAATAGTGATCAATTGACAGTGACTATACTGTGACTAATGTGTTACTTTTGCGAAAGAAGCGTAGACTATTTCATGTCATCTTTTTACTTCGCCTAAAAAACGCACACAGGTAGAAAATTCAGCCTTATTGTCTGTTATCTTTAATCAATATACGGTTAGTTAAATTCATTTGGATATCAAATGGAACTATAAAACAAGAACCTTATCGACACTGTAAATCTTAGCTTGCTTTCTGAAGGTTTAAAAAACGATACGGTATATGTTGCACGATGTTTGATTGGCGTACGTCTTTTACTTGCAATAATACTCAGTTTTTCAACATGGATTAATCACATGCAAAGAGGCGTGAACTGTCAGTCTGATTGCCTCAAAGGTCTGTCCGTTATTATCTGCGCGCTTAAATCAAACATTCTGTAGGGTACCCGATAATTCATTGTTCCACTAACGACCACTAATCAAATCTAACACCCAACTTTCATTTTGTGTAATATACAGATGACCGTTAAATAGAGTTGTTTTCTAGGAATTTTGTTAAACAAGAAGTATGCATTAACAGACTCCGCGATATGGTCATTATCTCACACATACGCCGTTATCACACAGGCAGTAGCAGCTATTAAAGGAGATGTCTGTGATTGGAAGTGTCTGTGACCATTTCTCTCGGGATTATGCCCTTCTGAGAAGTCCTACAAGGATTAAACAGCTGTCCATGGCTACTGGTGTCCAGTTGATATGGCATGGCGCATGCGATAGGTACCTACCGTACTGCGGAGTTTGGTGGTGTGTACTTGATGAGTTTGGTGTTAATTGTGTTTACATCTAGTAATGTTATTTGAGCGTAAAACTTCTAAAATATCAAATAGCGAAAGTGGAGGGATGGTGCTTTTTTACGAGGGGGTATTTTAAAAAGGGTCGCCTATTGGAGAGGTAACTTCTACGGTACCTTCTACTCTGACTGTTTTCTTACTTTTCTTTGTAGGTTCGACCGAAGAGATTTCAAAGTAAGTAAAAACATCATTCTAAAGTAGTAACTTGCTCTCGGACGTACATTTCCCTCAAATTTTTCCTAATAATCCTATTACATAGATATTGCGGAATCTTCCACTGCGTTTGGAATATCTCCGCGTTCGCTAGTTCAATAAACAGTCAGGACTGTATCTTTCACTTTCTTCGCTTTGCGTCCGTTCATTCGTACATCACAAACGTTCTTAACATTCTACCCAAAATTACAATGCTCACTAGTTTCATTGCCACCACAAGTAAACGCCTTGACTGGGTATGTCCGACCGCAAACCGAACTTGGCAAAGACTCGCCATTATTTCTTGTGACCTAACGCATGAGAGTGATACCTATTCCCTTAACATATCCCACATTATCTACCCTATTATTATTTACCGCGCATAAACCGATTACGAAAACGAAAAACCATTAAGACCTTGTATACAATCAAAACCACTAAGACTGCTAAAAAAACCGAGTCAATTCTATTATTCGTCATAGGATGTGGTTATATGCCTAAGATATTTTTCTACAAAGGCAAACTCAACTGCTCAACAATTACGAAAAATAATACTTATAATAGGATAAATTGCCGAGACACTTAAATTTCACTATTTGATGGTTCACATGTTTCGCAACATTTAAATTTCTCGATTTTACAAAAATTCTGGATTGAGAGTCACTTTAATTTCACGATCTTCGGCAAGACACAATTACTCTTAATTTTTTAATTTAATCAAATGAAACAACTTCATCTGCATTTGTTATCATGTGAAACCTAAGAAAATGATGCACCGCCAGGTATTGTCCACGATATCTACTATAAATAAGCTTCACAAGTTTTATCTACTCCCAGTTTTTCCTTTCACTTCATTTTCACGTCACGTTAAGTTCGCGACACTTTAATTTCGTGATTTCAAAAAAATCGCGAAAGTAAAGTGTTGAGAAAATTTCATATCTGTGGAATTTTGTTTGCCGAAGCCACACAAGAAAAAAATCTAATTTGTTTCCACTTTCAACGCACTATTAAATTTAATTTAAATTAAACTAATTTCGTCTAACGACCTCTTCTTGTAATGATTGTAACGGGGAAATTTCATGACGACGCGATGCTAAGACAAATCACAGTCTGTTCTGATTAAAAAAAAAAGATAATCTAATCAACTAAAAACTGAGTGAATGGAACTACGTCCGCATGGCCAAGGACTGTTGTGGCAATAGCCTCATTACTAGGGGTTATTTTTCATGCATTGCTACGTAAAGGGTCTGTTATTTTAAATACTGTTGCGATAAACTAAAACGGTCGTTAGACAAAACTAATTTTGTGAATCGCCATATAAATTTAATAGTGTGTTGAAAAAGGAAACAAATCAGATTTTTTTCTTTTGTTTACTGAAATAAATTTCATGTCATAAGGTGTTTTTCTTCAAAATTACCTTGAGCTTTAGTTTTCCTTGGACACAGTCTGTTGCCATGGCTACGGATATCATAAGTGACATGAATTAAGGTGTTTCGATACAGTTTTTCAGCGGCCATAATCGCCTTAAAAGTGGTTTTTTCCTTGTCCGATGGCAGTAAAATTTTCACCAGTAATTGGCTATGGATTGAAATTTGTGAAAATGTAGTTTTAAGTAAAATCGATATTACTATGACAACAATAAACAAAAAATTTTCAAACTGATAATTGTGTGATCTAGACCAGCTATTGAAAATCCAACACTAGGAACTTAAGTAAAAATTCTGCATCTTTAAATTTGACTAAAACGAAAATATATTGCAAACCTTAAATTTTCAATAGCCGTAATATAATATTTAATAAAAACGTTATCAATGACTCAAATTATTCTAAAGTAGCGTCAGAATGCTGCTTAATATCATATTTTGTTGCTAGGAAATTTTGTTGTATTTTCGTTCTTGCGATCGTGAAAACTAACCCGTTTTCTCACCACCTGTCTAAGAGCAACTTCATTTGGACTTTTAGCGCTTTTTTGTATATCTCTGAAACGACTCACATAATCTTCATAATGTATATAATAAGGTCTGAAACTTTCATCGAGCTTGATTCACTGCAACGTCTTAAAATTTCAAGACAAACCTATGCTACGAACCTGTCAAAAATCTGCGTTATAACATTCACTGTTTTGACGTTATGCTAATTTTTCCAAAATGATGCGCACTAAAAACACTGAAATGTGCTAGTCATGGATAAATGTATTGTCCGAATTAATTTAGAAGAATTAGCATAACGTCAAAACAGTGAATGTTGTAGCGCGGATTTTTGACCAGTTCGTAGGATAGGTTTGTCTTGAAATTTCAAGGTGTTGCAGTGAATGTTTATTGTTGTCATAGTAATATCGATTTTACTAAAACCTACCTTTTGACAAATTTCAATTTATACACAATCTTTGGTGAAAATTTTATAGTGATCAGACTAGGATAAAATCTCTTTTAAAGCGATTGAAAAATATCGGTATGGCCTCTGAAAAACTTTATCAAAACACCTTAAAGCCCTTGAGACGAGGTTGCCACAGGCAGCGAAAAAGTTAATTGTTTGTGTAGCATTTTACTCTCTCATTGAAAAATGCTTTGCAAATTTGTAAGACTATGTATGTAATTTGAATTTTCAGTAAATTTTTGGATGGACGGCATGATGTGGGCATCCAACTTCAAACAGACCCGTACCCCCCGCCCCCTCTTCCACCGCTAAGTAACCATGCGCCGAGTCATAACCTTAACCAAAAATGAAAACAAATTATCCCAAATAGCGTACAATGACATTAAATGTAATGAAAATAAAGCTTTCTGGAGCAAAACAGACAAAAGCTTAATATTTAATAATTGCAACAGACAGGGCTAGAATGCGGACATAGGAATCGTAAACATGATCAGGCAACGACTTAAGGATATCGAAATACAAAGATGGCTAAGAGAAATAAATAACGGCAATAGAAAAGATGCTAACCAAAGCAACAAAATGAGAACCTACCTGGTATTCAAAACGATAGACAATTACAAATGAGAAGATTACCTAGCTCTAAATAGCTCTAACAAAACTGTGACTAAGCAACCACAAATTAGCCATAGAGACAGGACGTTATTCGAGACCGTTTAAGAAACCTGAAGAAAGAATTTGCCCAATTTGTAAAATAGAAGTGGAGGACGAATACCATTTTCTAAATATATGCCCTGCTTACCAGCAAAAAAAGTGTTCGTTACTAGGTTACTTGGAAAACGAGTATAGAATAAAAATAAGCAGAATGTCACCTAACAAGATATTCAAGTTTCTAACCCCCCTCGTGGAAAATGCCAAAATACAAAAAATTAATAGCAAAAAATATATTCGAATACTTTGAAAAAAGAAAAGAGGAAGACGGCAATTAAATACTCTAGGGCTTAATTAATTAATAACTTATCAGCCATGTAATTTTAGTCATTTGGAAATAGTTGACATACTATTTGTTGTATAAACGACTCCAAATAAAACATGTATGTATGCATGTGTGTATGTATGTATGTAGATCAAAAATGCTGTGAAGGGGAAAGGAGAAGGAAAAAGTTCTTATTTCTTCCTCGATGAAAGATTAATTCTCATGAATTGATGTTTGTCTATTGACTGTAGATAACACTTGTACGGAAAAAGTGATGAGCCGAGAGCCCGTGTGCAAAGAGTTGATATGTTCTGACAACGTTGGCAGACAAATGAGGTTAACATTTTGCAAAAAAATACCAAAATTTTGTCCAAAGATTCACAAGGATCCATCAGCAGTCTGCTGTCCTTCAAAATGCGGTAATATCTCTAATGTGTAAATCTTAATAATGAGGTTCAATACCAGACCTTTTGCAACTAGTATTTCATGTTGTACAAAAAAACCCGTGGCATGCTGAAGAACAAGGAAAGCACTGGGACATGATAAACAAAGAGCTCACTTTGTTTGTTTTCTCCCAGTGCGTCTTTTGCTCTCCAATTTGGCAGTTCTGTACCACGTGAATGACTAGTTGCAGATGGCCTGCTTATTTAAAGGTTCGAGCCAGAACTCATTCTACTGCCGAAAATGTTGAGATAGCAGATGTATTGCACTTGAGCAAATAAAGTTTATCTTATTTATCTTTAATTATCTATAAATAATTGCTATAACAGTTATGGATAATCCAGTTTAGAATTCGGCGTGGCCACTGAATAGGAGCACTGAAGACTCATTTATACGGGGTTAGCCTCGACCTAAGAAAATATATTTAAAAATTCCAGTCAGTAGACTCAGACCTGTGTAAAACTGTGTCTATTGTTTTAAACTCAAATTCAGGCACCTTCTCAGCTCGCCGGTATTTGTGAATATTTTACTTCAGTTCGAGGCTAACCCGGCGTACAAATAAAAATTCGGCGTTTTTATTCTGCTGCCACGACGAATTCGAAAGTGACTAGACTATTGCTCCACTGATTTTTTTCCCCATTATAACACTTAATTAATCATCATTTGAGCATGCCATTTGTTTCAATGTTTTATTGTTTTATTCCTTTGCTGAGTTGGGAGCCAAGAGTTGTTCACTTATGCAAGAGGACTGAATCCAAAATGCTAAGGTGGCCCGCACAGGACTTGCTGCAAATAAAATAAAGTTGCTGCAAATGAAATAAAGTTGCTACAAGCTGCGTGCGCATACTTTCCTGTCACTTAATTTTCAGCAACTATTTCTATATTTGCTGCATGCAGTTGTTTTTTATTTGCAACAGCGACTTTTATTTAATTTGCAGCAACTTTTTTATTTGCAGTATGTCCCCTGTTGGCCACCGTAAAATTTCTACCAAAAGATCTTTTACCCTGGCGTTTGTAATAACATAAACCGTTTTGTGACTAATATTTCCCAAAAGACTGCAGTTCTACAGCTTTGTTGAATTCTCTCTCTAATTGTTTGCTTGATGTTTTACAGTTTGTGAAGACAGTAACGGCATAAAGTATTCTCCTGGTGAGAGCTTTAACGTCGATGATGGTAGAAACCCGCGCCACAAATGCAAATGTGGAAAAGACGGAGTACCTGAATGCCACGAATACTATATAGGTAAATATTGGCTGGCTTTATTTCCAGTGTTGTTGCCATTGCTTGTCGCCAGGATGGTCCGCAGGTTCAGAGATCTAAATAGTAGAAAAAGAACAAATAATATTCTTGACTTATGACATAAATCACACAATGATGGTTTTGTTGGTAAAAATTCGATTACTTCTACTTGTGGATCGTTTTGTACCATTGTAAACTGAAGCAGCAGTATAGTTATTACTGTTGTTGCTGATGTTGATCTCAATAGCGTTTACTAGGTTGGGACGGCTGGAAGGAGGGGGTGATGGAGCGGTGAATGTACTCGCTCCCACTCCCCGATAAAATTTCTAGCAGCGGAAGCTAAATGTATAAACAAAAATTGGGACAGTCTTCAATTAAACTAGTTAATTCAACTGATTTATTCATATTTTTCTTGCTGAATCTAATAGGCAACCTGCTTACTCCATATTTTTTTCTTCATTTTGACTGCTTAAATTAGTGCCAGCTTTTTGCACTTCGTTAAGTAATTGGTAATAAAAATGTAGCCTCGTACACCTCCGCCGACTACCGATTACTCACTGAAATCGTCTCCGTCCTATATCTTTTTCTTATCGCAATTATTTTCTAGTTTATCCAAACTACTAACGTGATAAGGCTGCAAGTTATAAGCTGTGAGCACATTGAGACTTCAAAAAGCAGGTTTCTAGCTGTAAAATTTACTTTTAACTCCCTTCATTTTTTAGTTCCACCAAAAGTACCCAGACCTCCACCAGTATTTCCTCCTCCACCAAACTTTCCTCCTCCACCACGTGATGAGGTAGGTGTCGTCTGACGTCATTAGTTAATCAACAGCTACCACGCGCAAAGATTTATATTTGTAGTTAGAGTCGTCACCCTGCTAGCAGAGCCTTTCATTCACTTGCTTGATTTAGGCGTACGCCAGAAAGACTTCGTTGAGCATGTGCTGCTTGTTGCAAGGCCTAGGACAAGGTTTGAACCAAGCAAAGCTTAAAACTGTGCGCTTAGTACACGGATTTCCGCTCTCACAAAGGGAGTTTGACGAGAGAAAACAAGATTGACTAGTTCGGGCTTCGGCAATTTCAGAGGCTTCATGTGATTCAAGCAGGACCTTCTTTTTCTCTTTCTTTCTCAAGAAGAGAAAAGAAAGCTCTTATCGCAGGTTGGAGAGTCATACTTAACTGACAGCTTTTGGCTTTTCAAAGTGCTGCGTTCAACATGTCCATCTTGTTACACTGTTCGCACAATGCGAACTTCGAACTTTTCAACTTTAAACAGCTAACAAATCACGTTATTCTGCAAAGAGTTCAATAATTTTTCTATCATTGAATCATTGTGCTCTTTTGTTTCGTTATGTTTTTTCATTTATGGTCGTTGTACCATCATGCCGCCGATATAAAGATATATTGTTGTTAGCAAATAATTCTTAGCTAATAAATGCATCAATTTTGGAAAAAAAAAAAAGAAAAAGAAGTCGTTTAGACCATACACTTATGATCTGAGCATTGTTTGTGGCGGAACAATTTTCATCGTTTTTGCGCAGGAGCAGAACGTTTTCCCAGCGTAGGCAAATATCGGATTATATTGTGATTAAGTGGTTTGTTAGCCACTTCAGAAAAAGTAATTTGAATAGTCATGGAGTTTATGAGACACTTGATATTTTTAATACCATATTGGTGAAGTGCAACGTTACCTCGAACCCAGATCTCACTCTGGCCGTGGGAGATTTGGGTAAGAGTTCATCGTTTATTTGCGTTTGAGTTCGGCACTTGTGGAAACATCAGGGTGGGCTAGTGGGATAGTGATACCCCAATACAGACCCTTCCCTTCCTTCAAATTTTTTAACAGTTTTTAGCGAGGTGGTTGTGTCGGTTATGGTCGCTGCGGGTGGTTGTGTTGATTGTGGTGGTTGTTATAGCCGAAATGATTGCTAAATCGAGCTGGGGCAAACTGGAAAATACCGTATTTATTCGAATAATTGACTTCTGTATACTGCATACCCCAAACCCCGACTGTTCCTGATACATATCATTTGAAAAATAACCTTCTCCTGAGGTTTATTACTGTTGCCTGTTTTCTGACATAATGTAAAAAATATCTTTTAAATCTTCACTTGTTTTCTTTGCTTTTTTATCAGTTTAGGTCATCACTCATTTACAATGTTTTCTCTCTTTTAGGAGCAAAACGATTGACATTTCAGCAAGATACAAAACTTTTTCTGATCCAGAGAAAATCGCTTTCAGTTCAACCATAGTAAAAGTGGCTAGTTAAAGAAGACCTGTAACACATTTTCACGCCAATTAATCCCGTGAAAATGAACATGAAATGAATAAAAAAGCATGTTACAAAGTGCCTGAGAAGAGTGTTATCTAATTACTTTCTTGAGCATAAGATTCTGACAAGATCGTTACGCGTTGGGCATTCCATTTCCCCATAATCCATCCATCCGTTAATCCATCCTTTCATTTAGTCAGACACTCATTCGTCTCTCACTACGTCCGTCCGTCCGCCCGTCCGCCCATCTATCAATCCATTCAATGACGCTTCGTTACTAATTTACCGCTTACTAATTTCGGTTTCTCTGGTTCAACATGTTTTGAAGCATATTTGCATGTAGAACGAGGACTGGCGTCCTAAATAGGATATCATTCTAAGAAATGAATGTTTTCCCTTGTCTTTCTGCGTACTCTATTTTTCTGATGAAAATACGTGGGCTTTGCGTACTCTATTTTTCTGATGAAAATACGTGGGCTTTGTGTACAACACTTTCACTGATCTTATGTTTGTATGGAACGCCCGGGGAGGTGAGGGGTACTCCGGATTTCATGTGACGGGGATGATCGGAGATTTTTTTTTTTGGTTTGAAATTTTCGATTCCGGAATTTTTTAGGATATTTTTTTATGGGTTAAATTAAGTAGGTATTTCTTTGGATATTCAGAACAATCTGAAGATTCGTAGTTATCGTAGTGCTCGCGTAACCCAGCCGCGTACTTCAACCAAACTTGTTTTCCTTTCTGGAGATTTTTAAGGCTCGGAAATTCGGCGTGGGATTTATTTGGGGTTAATTTTTAGTCGAGGGATTTTTTTTCGGTTTTGATTTTAGCCTCCATTCGATCATCCCCGTCACTTGAAATCCGGCTTACCCCCTGGGACAAAAAAACGATAGGAAAATGTAAAATTGATATTCGGCAATTCGTACGGTGAGTACTACATGTATGTCTGAAATCTTAAAACGATTTTGTGTTTCTTTATTGATGTCAGACCGACAAAAAAAGAGAGCCTTTTTCACAGGCAGCACATTCAACGTGCATTATGCAAGCGGATTAAGAGCAAATGTTACCATCGGCCAAACATTCCGTGCCAACAGGAAATATAAATTCAACCCATATTCTCAGCTTAGGCAGACCTTGATGTAAAACACTGAAAACAAAACAATGAATGATTCGTTTGGCTAAATATCGATTGGTATTCGAGAAAATCGATAATAATCGAGTCCTTTGAATATACTGCGTGTACAGCTAACACAACAAACAACAACAAACTTTATTATTAAACAGGTAATATTACAGAAGCATTGCCCCTAGCTTGCAAGGCTATTCGACGCGGAACAATCCGTGCAAAATGTGAAGTTAAGACTTACGCTAACTATGGAAAGTTTACAGTTTACAAATAAATGAAATAAAAATCGTAATATGGATGAGGACCTCTCTTGGGACTAGATAACACCATAAAGAAAAAGAAAATTTAAGAAATAAATTGTAAAAGTAGAAACTAATAAGCAAGAACTGATTTTTTGACATTTCTGGCTAATTTTACCTTTTTAATTAAGGAGGGCATATCAATAAAGTCATGTTCTGAATTTAACATATCAGAAAGTAATTTGCGGATTTTTTTAAATTTATTCAGATGTGACAGGGTATCTCCTTCCACATCTTAGCCCAAAAGCGAGAGAAAGACAGCTGAATATAATTCTAGATCGGAACTGTTAACATAAAAATTTCTTGAGCCCGATGCTCTTATATCGTAGGAGTGGCAACTACTTGTTTTTTGATGTATATTTAGAATGCCAGAAGTTACCTTATTGTTATGGACATCATGCTTAAGATTAGTTATTAATACATTCTGATTGGCTAAAAGCACACGCGTAATTCGCCATAACCAGCAGTACTGATGACCAACTTGCAAGAATTTTGTGTTTAACGATGAAATGACGTCAAAAATGCAGCCCGCTACAGGTTAAGGCACCATTACCGAGAAGACCTGGGGACGAGGTTGAGTTATTTTGGTTGTGAAAACAAAAATGGCGGAGACTTCACTCGTTTCAAGAGTAAGAACTACAGCTGGAACTAGGCAAAATAATGGCTAAAAACATAGCAAAAACAGCAAGAAGACAACCCGGAGGGCGACACCTGCTATTTGGAGAATATTTGCGGAGCTGGTCAAACCTGTAAACGTACACTATCGAAGATGAACTTAACATCGATGCAGGTAAGCATGCTTTAGATATGTTTTTAAACTAGGAATTACTTTGAATAAATAATAAAGCAATTAATGAATTCGGCTTTCGTAGGATATGAAGAATTAAGCAGATCTCGGAGGGTGTTATCCACAGAGGCCGAATTCTTCATATCCTACTCAGCCTAATTCATTTATTGCAAAAAATTGGTCTGATTATGATATAAAAAGTTCAAGGGTAAAAGGTTGGCGTCAATGAAGAGAGGTATTGCGTGATCGCGTCTCTCGGAAAAGTTTATTATCCGAAGAGCAAAAATTGAATTATAAGGCATGGGTCAAAAGCTATCTATATTCGTAACTATTTATCGTTAAGCTGTAAATTCTGTGTAACATGCGATTTCTCGAATAGTTATACTTTTTATCACACCGACTTTATGCAAGTTAGGTCACGTGACCTCCTACGGCCACAAAGTCCCAAAATATCTTCAAGCAAAAATGGCAGCAGTTTAAATTCGAAGTTATTCAACTTTATTGCTACAATAAACCTTACAATATAAAGAACTACAAAACTGTGCTTGGCAGTCTTTGAATGTGTAATTACTTTTGTCGATAAACGGTTTTTTGACTAGTACCAGTGCCCCATTACAAGTAATTTCTTCAGTCAGCTAGATCTTCCCTTTTCAATATCTTAACATTGCAAAGCACAGAAATGATATACCTAAAGGCCTTAAAATTATGCAACTAGTAAAAAAAAATCAAGGTCACAGGAAAAAGTGTGTCCATCTTAATTAACAGATTGTTTAGCTGTGACGAATCATGTGACCTCATTTGCATATTTTGTGATAACCAAATTGACGAAAAATAATAATAATAATATGCTTGTCTGACGAAGTTTTGAAAGATAGAATACCCCCTCACTTTTCCACTGAATAAGTTTAGATCCATGCCTTAATTTACTTGAGCTCTTTTTTATAGCAATAGAATTTTGTTGAGACGTGTCTTTGGCCCCAAGCAGCAAGCCCATATGTAATATACGGGCATATGAGTGATTAATAAATTTGTGACTGATAAACTGAAGAATTTTCCGGAGTACAAAATGACTCAATTTCGCAAGCCGAGCCAACCGTTTTACTGATTTTTAAAGAGACAGTAATCAATATGATGTTTCCAGGTGATGTTTTTGTCAATCAAAATGCCAACATGTTTTATATATTCCTTGGATTCAAGAGTAGAACATTCATTTTTCTCGTCGTGAAATAAACATATTTTTGTTTTTTTTTTGATGAAAGATTACAAAGTTGAATTTACTAATTTTAAGGGTTAGCTTATTAGATGTTAAGCAGTCGTAGAGGTTGCACAATTCAGTATTGACTACTGTTTCAAGATTTTCAAATTTTTCTCAGCAAAAAGTATTTTGGTATCATCAGCAAAGAGATATGTTTAGTAGAGCACTGGTGGGTATAATTAACATCTAGCAAAAAGAGAGAAGATAACCTACAACGGAACCTTGAGGAACTCCAAAGCTCATTGTCGCTTTATTTGATATGTGATCAGAAATTTGAGTAGTTTGGGATCGGCTATTGAGATATGAGGAAAACCATTAGTTGATTAATGCACGAAATTGGTAAACGTTGAGCTCGTCTAGTAGAATATTATTTTCAACGGTATCAAAACCCTTTTTGAGGTCAATAAACACACCACAAGAGTATAGACCTTGATTTATATTGGCCTGGATTGAGATAACGATGTCTTATATAGCATGTTGAGTAGAATGTCCTTCACGAAAGCCGCACGGGAAAAAGTAAATAAAATTGTGTTTCTCATTGTAATTTATCATTCTGTTATATATACATAAGCCTTTCACATATTTTGTTGAAGTTTGACAATAAAGATGTGGGTCTATAATTATTTAGACTACGAGTAGTCCCCCATTTTTCCTCAGGGATAGTCGAGCGAGCGAAACGCGAGCGCGCGTGAAAATCACCCCACGCGAGAAAAGGCGACAAGCGGCGGGGAGAGAGAAAATTTTCTCTCTCCCCGCCGCGTATCGCCTTTTCTCGCGTGGGATGATTTTCACGCGCGCTCGCGTTTCGTGCGATCTCCTGTGTCTGAGCAAAAATAGGGGACCACTCGTAGTCTAATAATTATTTGGGTCACGGTCTCATCATCGAATTTAAAAACAGGCACAATTTTGGACAGTTTCAATTTTGTAGGATATCTCCCTAGGCTAACAGAAATATAAAATAGTTCCGAAAGAACAGGGGCTATGATGTCAATTGAGCATTTTAGCAACTTTGTCGGACATGTCGGAGAGAAGTATAAACCGTGTGATTTGTCATTAAATAAGGATAATATTCTAGTCTTTACACAATCATATGTTATTGGTTGAAAAAAGAAAGGTGGCATTGGAGACATATTTATGTTAGCAAAGTCGAGAAAACGTTGTTGGGAAGAAGGAATCTTACTTGCGAGTTTACTTCCCAACAGACGTAAACTGTTCATTGACAACGTTATGTGAAGAATCTTTGATCAGTTTAATCTTATTGTTTGGATCCTTAATTGTAGTAAAAGTCTTGAGTTTTTTTTACGGCGAAACAATACCTCATTAATACCTGTCCACGTTCTTTTAGCCTCACTTGCGTAAGCAGGGAGACTCATTATCTGCAACGCGTTTTTCGCCCGGGGGTAGTCCCTTATATAGGCTATATATTTATGTACGGCGCCAAAGGGTATGGTTTTTTAGCCGTTTTGGTCTGAAATAGGGTATCAATTTCGACCATTTTGGTCTGAAATAGGGTTTGGTTTGTGCACTCTAGTCTACACTAATCGTGTACGTGCAGTAACAGCCTGTCACGTGCTCCGGTCAGGCGCCGGGCTCCAGGGCCCAGTTGTTCAAAGCTGGGTTAAGATAACCCAGGGTTAGTGCGAGATTTGAATTCAGATTTGAAAGCTTAAAAAGCATTTTAGTTTTAATTCTTTTTGTCCACAAGTTGATGGTTGGAAGTTCTAAAAATTACAGAGAAAATTATCCGAGAAAATGCTTTTGAACATAAGAAAAAGAAACCCGGGTTAAATTTAACCCCGGGTTAAGCGCTAATCGGCCTTCGAACAACTGGGCCCTGGGCTTCAGGTCTGAAATAGGGTGGGGAAAATCACAGATTTTGGTCTGAAATAGGGTAAGGGTTCCAGGAAGCGTGCCGCACACCCCCACTCAATTTTTCTGGAAGTAACCCCCAGACTTTTTCGTCGTATTTTGTACACAAACAGGCGGTCATTGTGTCAGGTGTTCCTTGCAGAGACCGTGAAAACTGGGACTAAGAATCGTTGCGTGATCGAAGCCACGCATATTTTGCGAAGAAAGCTTAGGAAAGATTAAATCTAGAGCTTTTCGGAAACGTGTCGGTCCATGAATTCTATCGCTTGAAAGCGTTGATTACTTTGGAACAAGTGAACACTACTGAGTGGTCGAAAAAAAAGAATGTTAATTAACAAAACTGCGATGGTAGGGTGTTGTAAACTTTCATTGTATGCAAATGGTCTGTGATGAGGATGCGGTTTATTTTCGGCGATGATTGAAATGACAAGCCATGTAACACGCTAACACGCGTACTAAATCAATTCAGAAACAAGTAAAAGTATCGACGTCGATAAAGTAGGCAGAAAAAGACCGAAGAAAAAGTTCTAATCGTTCCATGGGTACATTCAGCGTAGATTAAACGGATTGAATTTAAATGGGGTACTTCTGATACACATCAGGGTCTAATATGTCTTCATTAATTTCTTTTGACTACAGGTAAGGACCTCTCGTTCATGCAAAGATCATTGTCATGATCAAGAACAGATACTGTTAATAAAGATCCCTTTTTATTTGAAACACCTTTCATAAGCATGCAGTTAATATGTAATCACTTGTATATTGTTTCACACCTTTTGTGTGTGTGTGTGTGTTTGTGTGTGTGTGTTGGGGGGGGGGGGGTAATACAGAAGTGAAGTGGGAAGGGAATATTTCCCGGATAAAAGGCGCTGAAGAAAGGGAAGATCTGGTGTTGCGTGGTTTGTTGCAAAAGAAATGGTAGAAAATCCCAAGAAATTCTAGATCGACCTGTTAAGAAACTCTAACGCGATGAGGTAAGACCAACCCCCTATATTTCATATCTATAAACGACGTCCTTAAGGATTGTAATGAGAAATTATTGGCCAGTAGTGACCATCTCCAAGTATAAAGACAAACACAGTTGTGAAAACTTGAGACTGCCAGTTAATCGTGCCCTCCATCTTCAAGATAACCCTCTGTAATTGAAAAATAAAAGAATCTTAAAATAATATCACAGTGAAAGATTGTGCATCCTCTGTGTGATAAAGATGTGATGAAGAAAAAAAACACTATATTTTTTTTATCATTTTTATTGTTCAGGAGAATTGACCTCTCTCGTAACTCTCCAAACTTAAAAAAACCGCTTTTTTGCTGCCTTTGGACCCGTTTATAAGTAGTCCTTTTACAAAGTTTTCGCAAGTCCATAGAATTCCTTTGACGAACGCTAGTACAGTTATACTAATCACACGAGCGCAAGCGGTAATTTTCTCTGTCTTACATCTCATGGTAAAATACTAGCTGAAGGCTTATAATTCGATTGGAAAGAGAACATTTTCTACAAAACAGGGAAGTATATTCAACCAGACTGCATGACGACAAACCAACCTAGTCAAACCGAATTATCAAAGTGACATGATCGTGAAAAGCGCTCATTCACGCAATTGAAACTTTAGTTGTTCAGATGAATTTTACTCACGTTGAAGCTCAAGCATTTCTCAGATTTCAAAAATGATTTTGAGTGAAAATGAAGGGTGCGTACAAAATTATCATCATATCAGAGTTGCAAAAGTTAGAAAGGACAATATAATTATGTGATAGATAGGTAAACTGAACACGCTAAGCACTTAGCATGTATTATCACGCTTTTAGATAGCTAATCATAACTGTAAAGAACATTAATTACCAGCTTTTGCTTCGCCTGGATATTTTCCTCAACCTCAGACTTCTTTTCTGGTTACCAGGGAAACCGGGAAAAGGAGGCATTACTGGAGGGGGCCTGGGCGTAGTTTCAGGTATAGTGAAAGGAGCATGAGATGTGGGAGCGCCGGGATCTAAAAAACAAATCGAGATTTTTTACGAGTGTGTTAGATAGTGAAATAAACTGATGATAACTTTTAATAATTATAATTACATTTGAGCACTCGTTTATTTGAACTCTCAAAGGTAAGGTCAGTTTAGGCATTCTATTGTGCGTCTAATGTACAACGCCTAAGCTCTCAATTAAGCGAAATATTAAAATTCAAGAAAAGAAATATATAATGTTGTTATAAATTTAAAAAAAAAAGCTTCAAGCGAAACAACCGCTGATTAAAATAAATTTACGTGAATAGTTATACAATAGGATTTCGCCCACAAAGACTAAAAAGTTAGCATTTAGAATTAAACTTCATACCGCCATTATTGGCTGTGGGAGAGTAAAGGTTAAGTATTAACTCACTACCTAATATCTCAGACGGTAAGCTGGGTGGGAGGCCGAGAAAGGGTCGGTGGCGCAGTAGTGAGACCACCTGCGTCCCACCAATGTGGCCCGGGTTCAAATCATCCCAGCGTGAAAGCCATATGTGGGTTGAGTTTGTCGACATCGTTGGTCCACTCCCTTTCTCCGTGAAGTTTTTTACCGGGTACTCCGGTTTACCCCTCTCCTCAAAAACCAATTTTTTCAATTCCAATTCAGTCAGGAAACAGGAAGATGAAGAACCACTTAGTGGATGTGCTACCTCTAAATCGTTATTCATTTATTTTTACATGACAATGCACTGAGATTGTAAATGTACCTTTAGTTAAAGCTAAGGTGGTAAAAAATATTTCCCTTTGGCGTGACGTAACGAAACTAGTACCATCTGGAAGCAAGCAATGTTATTGTAGCCATAGGAAATTAATCACCAATGAAAATTTCAGGACACACCGACACACACACACAAAAAATACTAAAGTGAATTGAAGTTAGAACTAAAAAAACATACGGCAAGTAGGGCAGCATTTGTCAGGCTCATAAACAGGATTTGGGCAATTGTTTGGACATCCCGCCGCCACACACTTTGTTTGATTAGATGCGCATGTGCACTCGTAACAATCGGGTTCCGCGTGGGGTTGTCGGATGATCCAGCTCTGGCCATCTTTGTAGAACTTGTTTTGGTGATAACAAGCTGAATGTAACGATACAACATACATACATACAAACTTATTAGAATTCCCATGTCTTCATCGGAAAATTAATGTAATCTCTTAAAAGGTTTAGAATTAATGTTTTTCAGTGATTTGTATAAGGAATTCCCAATCTCAGTTGCTCTTTAGAAAAACCTTTTTTGACTGCATGCGGTAAGATACTTGGCGATGTTTGTATCGGTATCCGATGTTTTTAATCCGTGTTTCTGATGGAACCACTGAGTAATTAACTGGCCCCTTCTGATAAATTTCTCACACAAATAATGAGGTACCAATCCGTTAAAGGGAACCTCCACTCTTACTACAGAATAAGTTTAAATCGAATAAAATTATGTTGATAAACAAATTTGTTCGAAATTTATCTTAAAAAAAGTGTTTATATCAGGAAAAGTGAATTTTAAAATCGCTTATTTTCACTATCAAATTTCGCGGGCGCCGCCATCTTGAATAATTGTGACGTGTTACGGTTGCTCTATTGTTCTGACACAAAGAGCTTTTGTTTAAAAACAATAGGGCAACTATTACACGTCACAATTATTCAAGATGGCGACGCCCGCAAAATTTGAAAACAAAAATAGGCGAATCTAAAAGTTATTTCTTTCGGATACAAACGCTTTCTTTAAAAATATTTTAGATGGACTTGACTGTAACAGTTATTTCCTGTGATTTAAAGTTATCTTTTTGTTGAAGTGGAGGTTCCCTTTAAGGCTCACTTTATGTGACCCGAGTTTTTTTACTTTGACTTATAGCTATGAATGGCCTGAGCGCGAAGCGTGCGGAAAAAGCAAAGATCCGCGATTTACATCGAGGACAGAGAAGACCGATAACGCACCTTTTTTTACCCCACAAAACGTTATGTAACCGTTGTCTTCGATTTCTCTTGGGACGACTGTAATACCCAGAAGAAATTGGAAACAATGGTTGTGCAAAATTGTGGGGGGTAAAAGAGGTCCATTATGGTCTATGTGAAAATGGTGAATTTTGCAAAGTTCGTTTGGTAACCTTTCAACAGGAATGGAACTTCTCAAACTCATTAATAATGCATAATGAAAATACAAAGCAATTCATGGTTAACGAGTGTCTGGAAATCAGGTATAAAACTGCTCGTTTTTGCATCCTTAATTTCTCCTTCTAAAATAATCTTTTTGTTTGAGAAGTAATATGAAGCATTTTTTTGACACAGCGTTTCATCACCAGATGAAACACCTCGAGTTCAGAGTTTCATCTGGTTACGAAACATTGCGTCTCATGATTGATATATTACTTGAAACAGAGTAGCTGATTCCCAGAAAGCCCGAGAGACCTTAGACAGTGCTTAGACCGTCTAAGAATAAGTACATAATTTTAAAATAAGCCCCGTGTTTTTCTTTTCAGGCTGCTCTGCTACCACTCGAAATTTTGTGACCTTTATTGTTGGCAAATAAATAAATGAATAAATAAATAGATCAATAGATAGATAAATATATAAATAAATGACGTAAATTAGTGTAACTGTTAACATACCACAGGTTGGACAACATGTTCCTGGTGGTGCGGGTATAAATTTCTCGCAAGGAAAGAAGAAATCACACATGATTTTTCCACGGCAACTCTTGTATCCTTGATCACATAAGCATGATTGACAGCTGATGTCATTAGAATTGACTGGATTTTGTGGAATGTAAAACCGCTGTCCACTTTCATACGTCATGCCACTAACTTTGCAATCATCTTGAGATGGAAAACAGCTACGCTTAGTGAATTAGCAAACATATGTTTAAAAAAGACTTAAGTAAACGATTGTCAAAGTAGATAAATCTTGAACAAATGGTTATTGGACATTTTCACGATGGTTTCGGTTGACTGAAAGTACAAGAACTCATTCACTCTTTCTTTCACATCTAAATTAATAAATGGTCACTGAGATTTTTCAAACAGAAGCCCTGATTTAGACATGAAAACAAAAAACTGAAGGATTCTAACAGTTGCAGTCAAATTACATCATTGTGCAGATGTCCTATTAGCATTATTAATATTATTATTATAAATTATTATTATTACAGCAATTGAACTATCAAGAAATTGAACACAGGAAACTCATTTAGGAGAGCACCTTTTGAAATGTGAGTGGATTTTTCTTGAGATGAACTCTTGAAGACCTTATATCCAACTTTAGAGAGAGAAATACATAAAACGTCGCAGGAGGAGGTCTCACGTTGTCTTAGCGACGCGCCGCGAAAATCCTGTACCAGAAAATGCGATGGACGCGCAGAGTTGTAATTTTTCTCGTTTCCGTCCCCGTCGTGGCTGGCTGTGTGAATACCAAGGATGTATAAATACGTCCTAAAAGACAAGTTCCCGCCACCGAAGACGTATGTATATGTATATGCAGTTAATTTTTATTTCTCCTTTGTTTTAAATTCATGAGCATACATTAACATACCCAAAAACAGTAGAAAAATAAGAATTAACTGAGATAAAAAATAAACTACAACATATACGTCCTCTCCTTAGCATAAGTTGCTCAGTGTTTTCGTCCGTGGTTGTTAGAAAGTGTCTGAGAAGGAAAAATATTAACCGCGGACCTGAATGTTTTTTAGAAAGTTACAAAAGTTACATCAGAAGTTGATGTTGTTTTATGAAGTATTGGAAGAAGCTGTCATGAAAGTTGTGACTACCTTGCCAAATCAATACAATTTTACTGTATTTATTATTTGTTTAAGGCAGGAGTTACATTAAAAGAGAAGTTATAAAGCGTCAAAGTTCTTTTACATTTTGCGAAAAAAAAAACATTTTCGTGAAAAAATCCTTTACGACCACCGGTTGCTAGGAGTGTGTTTGTATTGGCATTCAAAGTTGATAATGGAGGTACTTACGAATAATCTCATAAACAGCGTTGGTCCATTCTCCTCCAATTCCTTTCATGCAAGTTTTAGCTTCCCCGTTGATATTATAACGGGAACCTTTCCGTCCACCCCAGCATTCTCCGTAGTACTGCAGGCCGAAAAATTTTAAATAACCTCTGTCGTATGCTCGTGTAGCACACATCTCAATTATTTTTCCGAAGTTATAATCTTTCATATTCCAGTCAACATATTCCCTACCATTGAATAATTCAATAGGTAGGGCTCTGTCTGATTTGTCGCTATAACAGCCAAGGAACTTATAGCGAAATCTTCCATCTGTTGTAAAGAGAAACGATGATATCAGACCTGTTATGCAGTGTAACTTCTCCTTTGGGACACCTTTAATTTAATCAAAAGACACTTCCATTTCACGGGACACAAACTTTGGTCCCGGAAAAATGTTCACTTATCTCATTGTTTATTACCTCTATTGGAGGCACACTCTATTCAGGGGAAAGGGACACTTTTTCTGGATCCCAAAGCATAGGTTTAACCTCCATTCAGGAGACATCTTGCTCTCAAACGTGGCTGACCACAAGAAAGCTAGATAAGTTTAAGTGTATTACACTTATTTATAACAACAATGACAGCTTTCACAAAATAAGTCAGTCTCAGATTTTAGTCCTATAGATTTCGACTGTATTGCATAGCCTTCATCAGCAATAAACGCTCAGTGTTGTCACGTGAATTAGTCTCGTGACAACAAATGATCATAACTCGCGGGAAGTTCATAACCTCCATCTCTGTTCAATGTCGGTCGCTGGCGTCTGATATGGATGGCCTCCTTAATTTTCGTTTTCATGTCCACTGTTTTCTGGTCAAAGGTCTTTCTGACCCCCTCCCAGTCGATCTGGGTGGGAGTACACGTGACAACACTGAGCGTTTATTGCTGATGAACTTCGATACAGTCGAAAGCTACAAGACTGAAATCTGAGACTTTAAGACTAGAATTTATATTTTTCATGTATATTTTTTTACGTTTGACTACCAAGGTCAAAAATGAGCATTCATGTAATTAATTATAAACAACTTTTGCACTGTTGTTTTTCAGCCTATATGGAAAGCTCCGTGAATTATATTTTATCACAAGATATTCTTACTCACCAGAACTGGTTAAAATGTTAGCGCCCTGAAGAGATAATAGCAAAAAAGGTTTCAAGCATTAAGGAAAAGAAAATTAAGAACGTTCGCTCTTTACTAATAAGCGTTTCGCAGGAAACCTCAAGAGCTTAACTTATCTTTTATACACCCTTTCCAAACCTTGTGAAGTTCTAATAGGAAAGTTTTTTTCTTAAGCCAAAGCTTCGTATTGAATAAATAAAAAGTTAATCAAAAGTTAAATTTAAAACGAACCAGTTCTCTACGCAACGATCTAAAATTGGTAGGCAAAATAACCAGAGGCAAAAGGTTAATCGTCCCTCTTTTTTAGTTGTATAACACTAATTTTTAAGTAAAAGGAACAATTAATTTTTTTGGTTGCGGTAGAACATAACATTTTATCGTTTCAAATTGCTCTTTGAATCGTGGAAGACACTGCTTTAATTGGCAGATATCG